CATCTAGAGTGATCTATATTTATTAATCATAACAATTTCAAAATATTTCATGCCTGATATTGGGGAAACTTCTTGCAGAACTCGATGTTCTGATCAGCCTAGCAATTGCAAGCGATTATTATGAAGGACATGCATGCCAACCCCTTTTCTCAAAGTCACAATGTCAAAATGAAGTGCCTTGTCTTTCTACAAAAGACTTAGGACATCCTATTCTTAGAAGCGATTCTCTGGGTGAGGGTACATTTGTCCCCAATGACATCACTATTGGTGGCTCAGGAGCCAGCTTCATTCTTCTGACTGGCCCTAACATGGGTGGAAAGTCAACTCTTCTTCGGCAAGTTTGCTTGTCTGTGATCCTGGCTCAGGTACTTTTTTTCTTTATTTCTTAAATTAATTTATGTTTTTTGAAAATATTATAATTTAAATCTTGAAAGTCTTGTTGTCTTCATTTTTTTTTTTAAATGGTTCTCCAGATAGGTGCAGATGTTCCTGCAGAAAGTTTTGAGTTAGCTCCAGTTGATCGTATTTTTGTTCGGATGGGTGCTAGGGATCAGATAATGTCTGGTCAAAGTACATTTTTGACAGAACTATCAGAAACTGCGCTGATGCTGGTAAGTTGGCCAAAGTTTTTGAATATCTGAGAGTTATCAGGATGAGGGACCAACTTGGATGATTATTAGCCCTGATGATTTAATGTTCTAGTCATTAAACGTCTCCTGAAAAATCTGCATATAAGTTGTATCCTTGCCTTCTGTTTTCTTGGGATGTCTCGTAACAGGTCTTTTACCTCATGTAACCAATACTCATTATCCATTTGGTCCTGGAACTCTACATGATCCAATCTTTCAAGGTATTTCTTTCATTATTGTCTAACTAAAAGCATACATTGAATTGGTTGATGCAGTCATCAGCAACCCGTAATTCATTGGTGATATTGGATGAACTTGGACGTGGGACGGCAACTTCAGATGGACAGGCAATTGCGTAAGTGTCATATAATTTATTTCATGTTCATTATAATATTTGGTTTTTCATTCACTTAAAACATTGATGCATTGGCATCTTAAAGTTCTGTACTTTCTGCCCTCAACAGCGAATCAGTTCTTGAACATTTTGTTAGCAAGGTGCAGTGCAGGGGAGTATTCTCAACTCATTATCACCGATTGGCCTTGGCTTATCATAAAGATCCTAGGGTACACTTTTCTTCTTCGGCACATCATTTGCGTAACTTTTATTGCATGTAAGATTCATGGAGCATGCCAGGCCTTTTAGTTCTTTAACATCTTTTCGCATTAAAACATGTTCCCTTGTTATTGTATACTTAATTGTTAATAGATGCATTATAGGGATGTAATAATTGCTAAGCTCAAGTTATAATTACTACAAGTATAGAATTTCCCACACTTAGACTGAGGCATCTTGGTGAAGCCCAAAATCCTTGGACTGGTTGTTTTATTAATGATAAAAAAGTGTACAAAAAGGGGAGCCTAGCCTTCTTTATATAGGCTTAGTTTATGGGCCAATGGACTTTAGTTACAAGAATGGTTAACTAAAGTTAAACCATTGTAACTAACTAATAATCTAACTAACAAAACGAAATATAATACCTAAGCTAGATTACAAAGAGAGCCCTAACATTTGGACACCTAATCAAATCATACTACATCATATCTCAATGATTTTCTCAGAATAGTTGGTTCTGTTTGTTAACTAGAGACTTTTCTACAGGTTTCGTTGTACCATATGGCATGCCGAGTTGGAGAGGGGGCTGGGGGCTTAGAAGAAGTTACATTTCTCTATCGCTTGACTCCTGGCACATGCCCCAAAAGTTATGGAGTGAACGTTGCACGGTTAGCTGGTAAGCCTCATTGATTTTTTGTTTCCACTTGAAATGCATATAGTTTACCCCTTATTTGGGTGCTAGAATATGCCTTTATTTTAGCTTCGAAGGAGGCAGTGTGGTTGGAAAGGGAGTATGTTGGTCATATTGACTTAGAGGTCTCAAGTTCGAATCTTTCAGTGAGCTTAATACCAAAAGTCCCTTGATGTCTCCTGGGTCCAGCCCCTAGGGCGGGTGCAGGTGCCCCTAGGTATAGGGGAGCAAAGTTCCGACTTCCAATTGTCAAAAAAAAAAAATAAAAAAAAATCCTTCATTTTGATTTCAAGTTGGTAGGAGATGTTTGATTCATTGGTTAAATAAGTTCGGAATGGGATTGGAACTCTGTGTTTATTGGCCTCTGTTTGGATGGTACACAAGAATGAGTTACAAGAAACGTAAATTTATGTAACCTCAGTTCTAGCCGGCCCTCTTGTTTATCAAGAATGCTATTTGGATTTAACCAGGAACAATAAATCAAGATTCGAGAAAAATGAAAACTGATGTGAATTCTTGCATCCTAAATTTCATAGTACGGTATTATTTTTAAGCATCATGTGTATTTATGTAATTGGCATGGATGACTTTCTCACCATGGATTGTAGTTTTCTTTTTTACTTGCATATAGAGTTCTGGGATATAAATTAACCGTTATTTTTAGGACTCCCGGATCGCGTATTGACTGAGGCTGCATCTAAATCGAGGGAATTTGAGGCTACATATGGCATGGCTGGAGAAGAATCTGAAGATAACTTGCCCAATCATGCTTGGGTGGAGCATACAGTAACTTTGATCCAAAAGTTGATCAGCCTGATGGGATGCAATGATGAAACTGGGAAGAATGGTATCAGTTCCTTGAAACAGCTTCAGCAACAAGCAAGAATACTTGTGCAGCAAGGTTGAGTCGATACTCGGGAACAGTCATTGGAGGCTGACATTTTGAAGTATACCTCGGATCACTGCAGTTCATTCCATTTTGCCATTGCTTTCACCAGAAGCATCTGTAACTGGGAGCAAGATTCTATCATAACAAACGTGTAACATACAAGATCCTGCATCCCACAACAAGCTCGACAAGAATTCTAAACGAATGAACTCAAGCCTGCGACCGACTTTTCTTGACGAGCGATTTCGGAGGACAGTTACTCATCGGTCATCCCAATTTTTCCGATTAGTGAAGAAATCGCTTTTTTGGTGTAAATAGTTAATAGCTGACGGTCATTACAAGTTCTGTAAACTATTATTGAATTAGGCCTGAGGGGTTTGGTTGCCATATCAAAGTTGGTATAGCTTTTTTTCCCCTTAAAATGAATGGCAATCAGTAATTCTATGTAGAGAATTAATATTGGTAACTTGGAGGGTTATTTGTGTCATTTTATTTTCAACTCATTTTCTTGAGCAGTGCTGAGAAAGTTTATTAGGTGAAATTTGCCATAAAGTGATATTGCTGGTGAGGTTGCATGGCAATTTGGAAATTGACTTAAATTTGAAACTGTGGGCATCTTCATGGATTTGTTTTTTCAACTTAAAAAATAAAAATTTGCTTCAATAATTTCTCAACAAAAATTGGTTTCTATGTGAAGCTAATTAAATTTTATTAGTAAATTGATCAAGATTCACAACATTCACCAATATTATATCATTGAAAATTAGTTTGTTATGGACCAAAATAATATATTTGTAGTTAAAATGAACTATCACTGTGACTCATTTTGAGGGTAGATGTTCAAATTTCTACATTCCTGCACCTAAAAGAGAGAGGATTGGAAATAAATACACACTTGTCGAAATTTTAACTATCATATTCCGACTTCCCAGCTTTTATTGTGAGAGCGTGAGATTTGAACTCATAATTTCACTACGAGAGATTAAAAATATAAGAAATATTAAATTTATTATAACCACTTAATCAAAAGTTTTTGAATATAACATTACTAACAATAAATATATGTCACGAACCTAAACTGATTAAGCTTCTTGCAGGGTCAGGGTTCAAATTTTGTGTTGACGTAATTAAAAAAAAGAAGAATAAAACGATGTTGTTTCATTACCATGGTTTTTGTTTTTAATTCCTTTTTGAAAAATATATATTAAAAAAATCAAATAGGAAAATTCGATTCCAATTTCCAACCAGTTTCTCTACCTCTTCTATGGAGTGACAACAGCACACAATCGGTGGGCTCGCCATTGGTGCTGACGGTTTCCTTCACCTTCTTCCTCTGCTCGAGATCCGATCTGCTTCGATTATGTTCCTTGTCGACTGGTTCTATGGCGTCTTGGCCTCCCTTGGTCTCTGGCAGAAAGAGGCCAAGATCCTCTTTCTTGGCCTCGATAATGCCGGAAAGACCACCCTGCTTCACATGTTGAAAGATGAGGTCTCTTCTCTCTCTCCTTCACTCTACCATCATCATTTTCGATTGTAATTTGACGCATGGAGCTTCCAATTGCCTTGAATTGCTTTGTTTCCCTTTTTTCTGAAATTTGTTGCTCGGCGGAGGTGCGCCCTGTTGTTCCGAGAGATTTAAGAATTTTGTTTGGTTGTGGAATTTCTTAGAAGTTGTATGTTTCTGCTGGTAGGTGGAGGCAGAACAATTCGATTGCCCGATTACTAATTTGGATCTTGTTTATCGTTGGCGATTATCTGTTTAATTATTTATTGTTGATTTGGTCTGTTGGTAATGGCGCCGTTTCTTATTTGCTTCAGAGGTTAGTACAGCATCAGCCAACGCAGTATCCTACGTCGGAGGAGTTGAGCATCGGGAAGATAAAGTTCAAGGCGTTTGATTTAGGAGGCCATCAGATTGCTCGTAGAGTTTGGAAAGACTACTACGCTAAGGCAAGTTAATTCCGTATATTTTATCTTTCTCTTTGTTAATGGTTTATGTTTTGAAGGAAAATAAAATCATATTCATTTCAGTATCCATTTCCGTTTTCTTGTCTCTAAGACTTCTTTATACGATTTTCCCATGAATTAGATATAAAGTGAGACGAAAATTTGCTGACCCGGCTGGTAAAGACCATGGGGTCCTCTAGTATGAGTCAGTAGTGGATATTTTTGGAAGATATGCAGTATCTAGTTATGTTTTGGCATTATAGGCACAATTTGAGAATCCTTTTCTGTGTTGATCAAGTAAGAAAAAATCATTCATGGTAATGAGTTATTGTTTCATTTTTTTTTCTTTAAGTTCAAAGATGAAGATAAGAACATTGTTTGATAATTATTTTTGTTTCTCATTTGTTGTTTCTTAAACAACATGAGTATCAAGAAAGATAAAAACTTAATTGATATTATTTTTGGTAAAAATGTATTTATAATTTACTTTTAATTCTTAAGTTTTAGAATTTATGTGAACCTCGAAACAGGAAGCATGGAAGTATATTTTCCTATGTCCAAGATTTAAACATGAGGTTCTCGCAGAAGTTTTTTCACCTAGGAGTCTCCTGTCTTTGGACCACAGCCATACCAATTTGAACTCTTTCCAACTGTTTTGTACTTCATACTAAGATGCCTCTACTATATTTTGTATCTGCCATTTGCCCTTCAATGAAGAATGCAAGATTGTTAAGTAAACAATATAGTGTTATGTTAAATTTCAGTTGTATGAACTTTTATAAAGTAATAATTGGTAAGTTCAAAACAATCTAAGTCTATACAGAAAAATTTAAACAAAACAATAATGATGGCAAACCATAACAGCTAAACCAAGAATGACGAATCATTCCTGTAGGACCAAGCAGACTGAATTTCTTTTAGTGTTATACAGTTTCCGTTTTCAAGGTGGCAGATCGGTTAGAATAGAGGAGAGAAGATGGAGACGAACTTCTATAATTTTTGGGAATGGTCACACGGCTGAAATGGCTTAGGATAGCAACTGCAGAAGTGATTGGGACCCCTTGAAATCTAAAAAGTTTCAAGAAGACAAGATGGGGATGGAGATCAATCTGGTTTCAGAAGCTTTCTAATAAAAGAGGTTGGAGGTTAGAAATTTTGACTTTGTCAAATGAACATGAGAGGAGAAGTTTGATCATTCTGGCTGGAAAAAACATGGAAGGTGAAAGTCTTTTTGAAATTAATGGATGAGTTCCTATCTTTGTTTGAAGGTGAAAGAAAGGGGATTAAAAACAAAGAGATCAAATCATATGCTGATGTGATGGAAGAGAAGGGATAGAGTAAAGAGATTGTCTGGAGTAGGATGTTTGATAATGTGGTGACCTGGGAGAGAGCAATTATTCTTACCAAGTTATGTTTCCACGATAATTGGTGGGACATTTGGGAAGTGTTGAAGAAAATTATCGATGGGAGTTGAATTGTTTGCTAAATCCATACTGGCAGGCTAGGCCTCACTTTGGTGTGCTAGTGTAGATGAAGCAAGAGCTTTGTGCAGCATCAAAGGGTGGTCAAGGGTGAGCAAGTTGTTTTTGTCAATTGAAAGTGGCGGAATGATGGTAAACATAGTAGGGAAAAGTTGTTTGTTCTTTCCTGGAACGTGGAAATGATGGGAAATAAACGTTTGGGTTCAATACTTGGGAGGCTTGCAATGAAGCTTGGGGGAACCATTTTGAATTCGTTCTTGCAGAAATTAAGGTGCTAGGTAATAGGTGATAGACTGATAGTAGTTGTGTTCTTAATGTTCCCCAGTGGTGCCTCTTTCATCTAGGTTGCTGCTGGCAAGGAGGCTGCTGGAAGTTCACAATGGTTTTCTGAGGGAAGCTGCGGTCAGGTTGCATGATTCCAATGAGTGCCCTTGTCCGATTGATGCTGCAAGATTGGGATGGGCAAAAGATCTAGGCAAAATGGAACATTTAAAAAGAATTGATAATAGAAAGGAGCAAACCATGGTACAATAAAGCTACTGTTTCAAAAATAGCTTAGAGTACTTTTAATTAATTTGGTTTATTTCATTGATAGTTTATACATTTTTTTTAAAATTTTGTTTGGCTATAAATAGCCATACTTGGATTTCTTTGGTCAAGCACGAGAAAGGAGAGACGTCAGACTAACGGAAAAGGGTGGTTGTGTCTTTATGAAGTTGGATTATAAAGGGTGTAAGGGATCATAGTAAAAAGACTATGGTTAAGGAGAAGGTAAAAAAGATTCATCCACAGGTTGCGTTTCTCTAGGAAACGCTAAAAAGAAGCGGGAAAATTGACAGAGGAATTATGAAATCACTTTGACCTCAATGAATGTTGGGTGGTCAAAGGTACAGGCGTGCGGACGATTAGGAGGGATCTTAACCTTGTGGGTTCAAAAGAAAGTGGTGGTTTCAGTCCACTAATTTTTTAGAATTAGAAATAGGAACTTTTTTCTAATAAAATATGAGCTAGGGGATGGAGAGAACATGGATCTCGAACATTTATGGTCCGCTGAATAATAGTTGTAGAATGGAGCTCCAGAGAGAATTGGAGAATTTGAGTGGATAACACATCAAGGGTTCTGGTGCTAATCCACTAATTTTTAAAAATTAGAAATAGTTACTTTTTCTTTTCTTATCAGCCGACTTTGAAGGTGCTCTCAGCATATACCACCATAAATCATGGATAAAGGTAAAAAAAAAAGGAAAAGAAAAGGAGCATGCCCCACCATATGCACTCAAAGCTCATTATTTAGGCTGGATTACCTTTTTTGCCTTGATATGTATTAGCATCCATCTTATTTGGGACCTACAGAATTCTTTTTTGTAACCTAGCTGCTAGAATACCATGTCATTTGAACGTTGCATTGCAGGTCGATGCCGTGGTATACTTGGTGGATGCCTTCGATAAGGAGAGATTTGCAGAATCGAAAAAGGAACTCGACGCCCTCCTTTCTGACGAGTCACTTGCAAATGTCCCATTTCTTGTGTTGGGGAACAAGATCGACATACCCTACGCTGCCTCAGAAGATGAATTGCGATACCACCTCGGCCTGACCAACTTTACCACTGGAAAAGGAAAGGTAAACCTAGCAGACACGAACGTTCGCCCATTGGAGGTGTTCATGTGCAGCATCGTCCGTAAAATGGGGTATGGTGATGGCTTCAAATGGCTTTCTCAATATATCAAGTAGGTGAATAGGCAGCTAATGCATTACGGCTCATGAATGCCAAGACACACTCTCACACTAGGCAAAAAGATGGCATTAGGTACATATACTGTTGGTTTTCCATGTGGATGGACGTAGATACTTCTGTGACTGGTCTGTAAAATTTGTCTAGCCGCCATAGATTTGTGTAGCAATAGTTTGGTTTATTGGCTATGCCATTGCCATCCCTTGGTATGTATGGATTTCTTTTTCTAGATTCAGCCAGCAGGATTTTCTTTCCTTTTCTTGAGTGTAAGACTTGAAGCGATGCAGCCTATTGTGGTTTGTTTTGAGTAAAAAATGTTTGGTTTGTTAATGTGAAGCCAGGAGGATCTGAAGAAATGTTTGTAATGCTATCCTATCATCTCTTTTTCGTCTGGTCTTGTCACATCTCGGTTTCATCTTTAATGGATTGATCGATATTTTGATACCTTATATTAGTGCAATGTGTGGAATCTACCATCTCTTTGTTATCCTGTCTCGTCCTGGTTTCATCTTATAACTGAATCACTATTGTGATACCTTCTATTAGTGGAGTGAAACGGAACCAATTGATCGATGTTGTGATAACTTATATGAGTGCATAATTCGAAATCCTACCATCTCTTTGGCATCCCATCTCACACTAGTTTCATCTTAACCAATCACTATTTTGATCCGTTGTATTAGTGAAGCGGCGGAATGATGAAGCACTTTCCAAGTTTACATGTATATCCCTTGCACTATTTCTGGTCCAACTGTTAGTTCTACTTCTGCGAAATGAGGGAGAGAAGATGGAAGTTCAGAGAATACTGAAAATTCTATATAATACATTTTGAAGTTGAGAAGGGCATTAAAAACTCTCCCTCCATTGGTTCATTGAAGTCAGCCAAGTATACAAAATTTCAACCCATTCGCTCAAAATTATCCCATTTTCCAATAACTTCAACACCAAAAACGTTTTTTCTCACCAAAAAACCAGGTTCCACCGACAGAAAATCTTGACCTCTATTTGTTCTCACTGTGATTTTGTTTTTATAAATAATTTTTTAATATTGTTGACTATACATCATTTTTAATATTGTGCAGATGAAAATGAGGTGGAAAAATTTATGAGACTATAGTCATACTCCCTTTACCATCAGCGGGTGGTGGCATAGTGAATTTGTGATCAAATGAGGATACCCCTCCTCAGTTTGAGCTCGTAAAACGCATAGCTAGGATTTCCCTTCCCTCTTTCGAGAACTAGTCCTGCAACGTCAATTACAGTAATGGATGGCCATCGACACCATCTAAAGAACCTCTAGTGTAAGCATATCACATTGATTCTGGATTATAAAAAAAGAAAATAAATAGTCACTCCCTTTGCTCACACAATAAAAGGAAAGAAATGAGTTCCACGTCATTCTAAATACAATGCTGACGTGGTAAATAAAGAATGGAGGGAGTATAATACTTTTGTACCAGAGTATTTTTCTATTTTTTCGAAACCAAGACGTGTTGATTGGAAGGTCAAATAGGTGTATAATTGTTGGAGTGGAGACTCCAAATGGAAGTCAATGTCATCATCAAACTTCCCACTTTCAAGTTGTGTAGCAGAAGGAAGTTAGGTCGGCTCCACTTTCTCATTCTGTGGCCACAAAGATCCAACCAAGATGACGCCTTTACTTAGCACATACAAAAGCCAAAAACTTTCCACACTCTTAAACTAAAGACCTCTTCTTTACACCCATCTTACAGTAGTCAGCCGCGTTTCCCACACTACTCTTTCTCTCTCTAAAACTATATATTCAGATCTAAACTTCATTTCTGGTATATTCTCAGCAAACCCAAATCCACAAACATCTTAATCTCTCTCTAGAAACCATTGAAATGGGGTGTTTTTCTGCTTGTTTCTGCTTCAAATCTACTGAGACAGCAAAGCTTTTGGACTCTGATGGAAGTCTTATCGGAAAGGTGAAGCTTCCGGTGAAAGCGGCGGAGCTGATGCTGGAGAAGCCCGGCCACGTCATTTCTCCGGTGGAGGAGCTCCGGCGGACTAGCCGGATTTCGGCCCTGAGAGCCGACGACGAGCTTGTGGGTGGTAAAGTATACATGGTGGTGGCTGTGGGCAGAGTTGGGTCGAAATTTTCTATGGCGGAATTGGAGAACATAGAGTTGGCCTGCAAGAACAGGGGGAAGAAAAATGGTTCAAAGGTGCTGCCGGAGGCGGCGGGGACGGCGGAGGAGAAGGAGGAGATCGGAGGAGGGATTGTATGTGGTTCTGATCAATTGGGGGGTTACTGTCGTGTGATTAACAAGCGGTGGAATCCCAATTTGGAGTCGATTTGTGAGGATTTTTCACACTCCTTTAGAGATAGACATTAGAGATTTAGAAGATTTTTAGGTGTTGGTTTAATTATGTAGAGGATTATTGGCAGTTTAGACGAATTGTATCATAGAATTTATGGCAAATTATACCTTTTGATTCTCAGAAAGCTTGCGTTTTTAGTTGCTTTACCGTTTTGTTTGAGCAAATTAAAGACTAAATTGGAATACTTATAAGGAAAGGAAATACAGCAAAAGGAGCAACTCTGATTATTCCCACCAATTCTTTAAGTGGTGGTGAAAATAAACTCCAAATAATTTCTCACACCCATCTTTTTGATTTAGTTTAAGATATTCGAGGAGAAGTCAGTTATGTTGAAATTTGATCTGCTGATGTGTCCAACGTAATGTTCGTCGAACAAGATTCTCCTATAAGAATGGACATCGAGGTGCCTTGAAATATCTTCCCACGCTTGAGTTAGAGACTTAGAGGTAGAGGAAAATATGGAGGGCTTTAATGTATTTTGCATAGTGATCTGCATTTACCACATTGATGGGGTATTCTTTCCTTTATATAGGCAGCAGTGCCATCCGAAGAGGCCGTTTGGCATAGGACGTGGTGGGCTTCCTCTGTGTCTTCTGACAGGTCATTAGGGGATATTCCGAGAGCAGGCTGCCGCCTACAATGTGTCCCTCGGACTCTACTACTGTTAGGAGCTTGGGCTCATCGGTACATTCCTTGTCAGGTAAGTGCATTGTCTTCTTCGTTGACTGAACTACTACAATGAGGTTGGTCCCTGCTGCCACATAGGGTCGCATGATTCGCCAACGTCTACGCTCGATTTCTCTACTATTGTTAGGAGCGCTATGGGCTCACCAGTACATTCCTTGTCAGGAAAGCGCATTGCCTTCTTTATTGACTGATCTACTACAATGAGGTTGGTCCCTGTTGCCACATGGGGTCGCATGATTCGCCAACGTCCCCACTCGATTTTTCATCCATAATGGATGAGTTGAAGGTCTTGATCCTTGTAATCTTGAGTAGAAGTCATTTTGCTGCCTCGTGAGACTTCCATATATACAAACATTTTCCCAACGAGGATGAGATTAGCAATGGTACTGATGTGTGCTGTAAGGCGGACGATCACGTTGGGACTGAAGGGCTATTTTATTTTCTGGTGTATTGGTGTGTTGTAAAATATATTTATACACGTCGAAATTTATAAATAAGTGAATTTCATATCCCCGATCCAATTTCTGATCTTGTAATTTTAAAACGTACCAAATTATCTTTTTTTTTTCTTTATTACAATATATAGGGGTAGAGGATCGAACTCACAATCTCGAGATATACTCATTTTGACATGGTTAATCTTTGATGGTATGATTTTGCAGTTAATCCACATGTTACAAATCTTGGTCAAGGGCATGTATATTAGAATAAGAAAAGGTTCATTCAAATTTCTCCCACCCAAATGCCCAATCTTAATGGCATTCGGTAAAGTTACCTTTTTCATGCCTAAGTTTAACCCCTCTCTTTAGAGGGCCAAACCATTAGGCATCATCTCCTCTAATTTTTGGCTATAAGAACAATACACATCCTATACTCAATACAATAAATGGTACGAGAAAAGTTATTTAACTGACCGTTACAATATGGTTGTCTCCTAATAACGAACGGTTTGAAATAATAACAACATATAGAATTACCAACCACATTGTTCTAGTCCCTCGTACAATTTCTCCTTTCTTATGTCTTGATCACACCTAATGTGATAGCTTGAAGCGATACCGTATGCTTAACATCACCAATATGAATAAGGTGTTCCCCCATCGGAATTCTCCTTACTCCTGATTTATCCACCACACTCAAATATTTGCAAACGTGAATGTGGACTGGCACGCGCTGCTGAGCCCCAGCGGCAAGATGCACTTTCTCGAAGGCCACCAGTTGCTTGCGCGGCGCCCAGGAGCCACCTCCGATGGGTGGGGTTGAGAACACAAGCAACGTGTGGGATCCGTCTCTGTCGCCTTTGTTTGCGACGTCGACGTGAATTACTAGAGAGAGCTTTCGACACTTGGCATGCGTCACCCGAATGGCCTTGCCGGAGAGGGCGGCAGTAGAGGTTGGGGTGCGACGGTGGCCGGCGAGAGGGACCGCGACGGTGGTGTGTGCTTTGACGATTGTGTGGATGAAGTTTGAGTAGCTTAATCCATAGCCAAATGGATAGACAACTGGACCAGAGTAGAAGCGGTAGGTTCTTCCGGGATATGATGAACTTGATCTCATCGCCATGTTTGTCATTGCTAAGTTTGAGAGGTAGGATTGTGGATACCATGTCATTGGCAGCTTCCCACCTGTAAAATCACAAAAAATTTGAATCTTCTATTTTTTAAATTGAAAATGTATGCCAATTAACCAGTTAAAGTGTACTTTTTCGGCAGGGTAATATGCAAACAATTGACCTCTTAAATTTTTCATCATACATAATACCATAATACCATTTTTGTTGTTTGGTTTATCTTAAAACTTTTAAGGTATGTCTATTTTAATTTTATTTTACTTTTAAAAAATAATCATTTTGATTCTTGTCAGTATACCTAATATTTATCGATTGAAGATACATGTCAATCAACATGTGCGACTAAAATACATGTTCATGTCAATTTGAAGTTAAGTTATCTATTTGTTAAACGATTAAAAGATAAAACTAAAGACCAAAACTAAAAGATTGTTTCTTAAACTTCATAGGCTAAAATAAGATTTCACACATTTTCAATTAGAAAATATCTGGTTCTATCACCCGACGATTATTGAAAAATTACCTACTAAAAAAAAAAATCTCTATTCTTATATTCCTCCCTCCTAATATTCAAACATTTCATAGTAGGGTTAGTAACATTTATCCAAATTTAAGAGAAAAAAAAGAGGGAAGAAGAAGAAGTTTTGAAGACCTGGGTTAGTTGTTCCGAAGAGAACATCAGCAATGGCGGCTCCACCGGCCTGGCCAGGGTACCCCACCCACACAATCGCTGAAATTCGTGGGTCATTTTTGGCAAACGACATGTCGATCGGCCCTCCCGACATCAAAACCACCACCGTCGGCCCACGTGAAGCCGCCGCCGCCTTCGAAATCAGTTCCTGCTGCCGTCCAGGTAGCAGAAGCCCCTCTCTGTCTCTCGTCTCCGCCTCAATCGACTGGTCCAGCCCAACCACTACGACCGTCGCATCGGCGGCGCCCGCGGCGGCCATCGCCTCGCCGAACGAATCCTCCGTCGCGCACGCCACGTCGTCGCACCCTTTCCGGTGGACCACCGCCGCGTACCTCGCTATTCCTTCCACCGGCGTCACGTACCCACATGCCACGCCTACAAGGTGAAACAAAACAAATTCATCATTCAATATATCTATACTATATTAAGAAGGCAGGAGGTAGAAAAACATTTTTAACCCTCTACTAAATTTACAAATTTACAAATTATGTCATTAATATATTATTACAAATATTAAATTAATTATTAATTATTAATGATCAATACTATAAATGCATGGAATATAAAAGGTTAGAATACAATAAGTTTTCTAACAACATAAAATTAATTTTTTCTTTAATTAAAATTCATACTAGAATTTCAAAGAGTTTTAGAATTTGAAAAGCTTTTGTAACGTTTTATCCTCTACTACTATAAAAATAGGTTTTCTTCTACATGTTTTTCASAARTTTCAATAYTTTTTTATTCTTAGTTCMTTGAAACATCTCTCAAAGATGATTCAATCTTGAAAACATCTCGAGATATTTGTGACATATTCATCAAGTTGCAAGAGAGGCATATGTTGAATCTACATATCTCGAATACTAGGTTTGTAACATTACCATTCCACAATTTTACAAAGTTGAATAATAGTATCTGTGAAGCAATCTTCAAGAATGAACATATTTACTCTAAAAGATAAGTGTATAGTGAGTACTTGGATTTTTTTTGTTACTATTGTTATTTTTCTAATTAGTGTGTTTTTTATTTGGAATGTTTCTTTTTTTAGCAATTTTATTTAGTTTAGGATTTGAACTTTTTTTTTTGTTACTAATGTTTTTTATTGTTTAGTGTGTTTTTTTTTATTTGGAATGTTTTTTTTAGCAATTTTATTTAGAATATTTGTTTAAAATATAGATAATTACAAGCTCATGTTCTTATTGTTGAAAAAAAAACAATCATAGAAGCCAGTATATAAAAAAATGTTTAATTAATAAATTAATTATAAACAATAATTTGTATAGAATCGTAAAAGGTGGAATATAAAACTTTTGGTCATTTTATTTTCTAATAATATAATTTGAAGAATTTTTCTTTAATAATTTTAATTATAATATAAAATTAAATCAATAAAATAATTTAGTTTTAGTTAAAAAATTCAACATATACAACGAAACGTCAATCCTAAACAAATATTTAATAAACAAACAAAATATTAAAAAAATAAAATAAGGGACCCATATTAGGTTGAAATAATTTAAAAATAAAAATATTAAAATACCTATTTACTGTTTTATTAATATATAATTTTTTCCTTTACTTTTAATTTATTTATTTACAAAATATATCATTAACAATTAACTATAATAGTCTATTTTAAAAATAATTATAAATAGTACATTTTATTATTAGTAATTAGCTTTCAATAATAATAAATATATATAAAAATTAATCTTAATTATTTTTTAAAATAATTATACTTCAAATATTTTACGTGAAATTATATAAAATTTAAGTTACCTTATAATTAAAAAAAATTTATACGTGCATTGTACGTGGTAATACACTAGTAGAGGAAAAAGACTCATAGGTTGTTAAATTTTAAATTTTAAAAATTAAAATTTTGAATATTAGACCTAGATTTATTAGACATTAAATTAAAACATCACGTAAATTAAAATTTGAATATCTAATAGTTGCTTAAATTTTAAAAAAGGTATAATCAATTGTTAAATTTTTAAAATATATCTAATAGACGATTTAGACTTAATTATTCTTGATTTGTTTGGTAATGTTTTCATTTTTCATATTTTTTAATAAAGAAAAATATTTGGGTAACTGTTGCTTGTTTTTTGTATTTTTTATTGAAGGAAGAAGTAAACTTGATTTTGTTGAAAAAAAACAAGAAATTTAGAATGTGTTTTGATATCTATTTTGTTTTTTGTTTTTTATTTTTTATTTTTAGTTTTAAAGGAGTAGAATTGTTTGATTAACTAATTCAATTTTCAAATTTTTATCGTTTAAAAAACATTTTGAAATTCTACATAAATATAAAAACAAAAAGAGTAGTTTTTAAATAAAAATAATCATCAAACAAGCATTTATGTTTTCATTTCTCAAATTTTATACAATTTTGAGAATATTTATAAAATAAAGAGCTTAAATTTCTTAATAAACAGAAAAGAAGAAAAAAATGGAAAAGTTATCAAAATAATGAGACAGTTATTAAAGTTAAAAAATCAATTATGTTATAATAAGTTCATGGACCAACAGAAAAAAAATATTTTAATGGGTAAAAAAACACGTTTTCCTTGGTGGTAGTTCAACGCTAAAATCAAATAAGAGGGGCGATCAAGATATTCAAATAAGATCCAACGGTCAAAAACAAGCTTACCAGCGTAATTCCCGATCATGGTGACGTTGGCATCGGAGTTGGGGCCGATGACGGCGACGGTGCGGTGGCGAGTTGCCGACAGCGGCAGAGCAGAGCGGCGGTTCTCGAGCAACACAATGCCCTGTCGGGCGGCGTCGAGGGCGAGTTGTTGGTGGGCCGGCGAGCACACGTCCTTTGGGCCCAATCTGCCGTACGGCTGCGACGGCGACGGCGCTCCGTCGAA